ACTTGGCCCGGATCCACGACTCCCGCTCCTCCCTGCAGGGACACATGGCATCAGGGGACTTATGGTGTCAGGGACGTGCTCCAGGTGACCCCGCTTGAGCGGGGGCTTGGACTAGATGATCTCTAGAGGTCCCTTCCAAGACCAATCGCTTGATGCCACGCATCCCATACACACAGAGGGACATGCAGCCATGCAAGGGGACACACGGAGGCCAGGGGACACTCACCGGGACGACTCATGGGTGGGCTTGCAGCGGCCCTGCGGGTTCTTCTCCCAGATGCTGTTGGCAGTGGTGTTGCCGATGGAGGTGAGCACCAGCGTGAGCTCCCGGGGCCAGTCGTCCAGGTCAAGGGAGCGCACGCGGGACAGGTGGGTGCCCAAGTTGCGGTGAATCCCCGAGCACTCGATGCAGATCAGCGCCCCCAGGTTGAGACTGGCCCAGGTGGGATCTGGGGTGGGAGTGGGGGACAGAGGCTGTGAGGGCCCCACCTGGGACACTGCACAGGCTATGTGGCCCGTGGCGCTGCATAGCCCAGGGCATCACATGGCCCATGTCACTGCATGGCCCACGGCATTGCATGGCATCATGACACCCACAGCACCACCTGGCCCATCGTAACGCACAGCCCATGGCACCACGTGACCCACGGCATCATGTGGCCCGTGGCATCACATGGCCCGTGGCATCACCCAGCCCATGGCACTGCATGGCTCGAGGCACTGCATGGCCCAAAGTGCTGCATGGCCCCAGGCATTGCGTGACCCACGGCATGGCATGGCCCTGCATCACCCACAGGATCACCACCTGGCCCATCGTAACGCACAGCCCATGGCACCACGTGACCCACGGCATCATGTGGCCCGTGGCATCACATGGCCCGTGGCATCACCCAGCCCATGGCACTGCATGGCTCGAGGCACTGCATGGCCCAAAGTGCTGCATGGCCCCAGGCATTGCGTGACCCACGGCATGGCATGGCCCTGCATCACCCACAGGATTGCGTAGTCCACGTCCTACCCCACCAC